GTTTCCTTGTGTCCCTTTGCAAGACCTTTTCTGTGTCCTGGCCTCTTTCCCTAGGCAACTACTAATCTACTAATTGACTCTATGACTTCATTTGCATTTTCTAAGGAAATTGTGCCATATGTTCTCTTTTGTTTTGCTTCTTTCAATTAGCATAATTACTTTGAGATTCATCCATGTTGTTGCACACATCAATAGTCCATTCCTTTCATGGCAAAATAATATTATATAGATATACTATAGCTTATCAATTTACACAATGATAGAGTCTTCTAGTTGTATTCATAAATTTTATAAATATCCCTATATAAGTTTATTTGTGAATACATTCTTATGTCTTGGGATAATTGTATGCTTTGATTTCTTTTGTAGTAGAAAGCATGACTCGTATACTCGTATAGTAGATGTCTGTTGAACATTTTAAGAAACTGCCATTAGGTTTTCAAAGTGGTTTTACCATTTTACATTTCCAGAAGAGAGTTCCAGTTTTTCATCATTTTTATTACTTATAATTTTTATTTTTTTATAATCTTCTGATACAAAATAATTAATAATCAAGTTATTAAAATTATACTACCTTTTAGGTATTGTCATATTTTTATTTAATCATATTAGTGCAAAGGAACAGCTACTATTCATACATTACGGAAGAATAAACTGGGAATTAATAGGATAAATAACTTTTCTAGCACCCATTCATCACAAGGTGTGGATATGAGGCTTGGACCCAAATCATCATAATTAAGAAGCAATGCTGTTAAACATTATGTTAATTCTGCATTTCTTTAGGTCAGATGTTCAAACATGCACCCCTTTGACACTTGATAAAGCATAAAGTACTTTTATAAGAATCATATTAAATGCAGAAACTGTATATATGAGATAAATACATATCATATATATGTATGTGTGTGTGTATATATATATATACACATATGTATATATGTGTGTATATATATATATACACACACACATATATATATGAAGAGAAACCAATTGTATCAATATATAATTTTCTCAATAGTTCTCAATAGGGTTGTAATTTAACATTCATTCATTACTACATTAAATAACAAAGTATAGTAATATGTGTGACCTACAAAATTAATAAAAAATAATGTCACTTTATCATTCAAATTAAGAGATGTTTGAATTCTAGCAATGACCTTCTGGGATCAAGATTTAGAGCTCCTGTTCTAGCCCGTGCTTTTGTTGTCATTGTATATAATCCTAACTAATAATATCCAGCTTCTCCATAGTTTCCACATTCACTGTTTATATCACTAAAAATATTTGTATCATGTGATCTCTGACATGGCTTCTGTTACAAGTTTCCCCACTATTTACCTACCTTCTTGGTTTCTAACTTTCACATTCCAGTCACCAGTAATTATTGATGCACCTTGATTGAGTAGTCAATCAATTTTAGACTCTAGAAGTTGGTAAAAATCTTCACTTTCTTTGTCTTTGGTTTGGTGGTTAGTACATGAGTTTGAACAATAGTATTATTAACTGGTCTTCATTGTTGTTGTTGATTTGTTGTAGAGTACCATCAAGTCAGAACCAACTCATAGCTGACCCTCCAGTAGGTTTTCAAAAGCAGTTAATCACATGAGAGGAGATTGCCCATCCTTCTCTGATGGAGCAGCTGGTGGATTTGAACCATGAGCCTTCGGGATTGCAGTGCAGTTTCTTACCACTAGGAACATAAATAGCTCATTATACTCAAGTTCTTGAAATGTTATTTTTGACACTTGATGTGATGTCATTCCTCTTCAATTTGTCCTTCTTGGAAAATTGTCTGATTCAGTGTGGCAAATACCAGCCTGTTTCAGCTTACTAATAACTAATATTTATGCATTTCATTTTGCATGATTTAAAATGATCCTGGATTCACACTTTCTACATTCTGAAAGTTAGTGGATTTCCCCCCTTCATTTGGAGCTGTGTCACCTTAATAAATGAAGAAAACTTTTCCTTTTTTCTTTTTTATTCCATCCATGTCATTATGGCCAACTCTACTTTGAGGAAGTGTCCCTTCCCCAGTAATATTTTGAGTGTCTCCCAAGTGAGGACCTTTGGCAGTATATCTGACAAACCTCCTCTTATTCATAATAATTTCACTGTGTTTTCTTGTCTTTTTTTTTTAACAGGTTGTCAAGTCATTCTTCTTGGTCCATCTTAATATGGACGCTTCACTGAGATTTGTCTGTTATGAACAACCCTGCTAATATCTAAAATACTATTTCAAGCATAGCCGCAAAACACGAGCCACTCCAATATGTCAAACTGACAGAATAATGGTGGATTCTAGCCAATCATCTCCATGAAAGCAGACTTCATATATGTTTTGTCTACCACTTGATCAACAATGCTTTGAATAAGTAGACTGGATGTATGGCGGAGAAGTTTTCAAGTACTGTATATTTAAAAGTTTATAGTAAAGGAAATAAAAGTTACGTGACCTTAGTCATTTCATCTTCAGTTATCTCACTTGCCTCATCTGTAAAATGCAGAGAATAATACTAGTCATTATAGGTTGTATGATATATATATATATATACACACACACTGTATATAACATACACACTATATATAATATATATTGAATGGATAGTTAAATATGTATCTATCTTTGTCTATATTGATTGATATTGGGTTTTTTTCCTTAAAACAATGCCTAGTAGTTTGTAGATACTGTATAGTTATTTGCCATTATTTTGATAAAGACAAAGGAAGTACAAGAAGCCATAAAATTGCTGAGTAGGAAAAAATAATTTTATCTAGGGGATGAAAAATCTCTCACAGAGCAAATGATGTTTCAAGCTGGTGCCTGAAGATTGGATGGAAGTTAGGCAATCAAAATTGAGAGGAGAATTCTGGATAAATGAAACAGAATGTGCAAAAATCTTTGAGACAGGAAAGAACACAGTGGTTTTTAGAGAGACTAGAAGCAATCCACTTGGCTCTAGCAGGATGGGAAGGGAAGAAGAGGCAAGAGATGAAGCTGGAGAGGTAGACAGAGGCCAGGAGCAGAGAACAAACCACGCAGTGTTTATGGTGCTGCAGCCTGGAAGACAGACATGAAACCTCCATCAATTATGCTTTCCTGTTTGAGATCGTGAGATAAACATTTTCTAAATTATCTTGGAAGCCTTGTGTATAATATTTCAGAGACACTTCAGTGGGTTTTAGATGAACTGTTTGCCATTTTGGTTTGTTTCCAGCATTTATAAATGAAACAAACAAACAATTCAAAGAATGAGCCATAAGTCATTGACTGTATCACCTGACTGTGCCGGAATTATTTGGTAGTAAGGATTGACTTGATGGCAACTAGTTTGTTCTTTTTTGGGGAGGAGGGGTGTTATTCTTGTTTATCAAATAAGAAAATTACAAGAGGCAGAATTCCTAAACTTTATACAAGACAAATAAACACACAGATAACACACATGCATATATACCTTAACCCACTGTCATTGGGACTATTGAGACGTATAGCAACCCTTTATGACAGAATAGAACTGCTCCAAACTATTTCCAAGGCTGTGAATTTTTTTTATGAAAGCAGATTGCCACACCTTTCTCCAGTGGGGCAGCTTAGGGGTTTGAACCTCTTAGGATTAACAGCTTAGTGTTTAATGTATAATGCCAACAGGGCTCCTTCATATACCTTTAAAAAAACTGACTGTCAAAAAGCCCACTGCCCTCAAATCAATATTCATTCATAGTGACCCTTCGTCAGATTTCCAAGGCTGTAAATATTTGGTGTAGGAGCCTGGATATCTTTCTCTTGCATTGTCAAACCACAGGCCTCTCAGCTAGCAACCCAACACGTTACACACCGAGCCACCAGTGTTAGAGTAGTGGCCTTGATGTACCTCACACACATTTCATTAATGATTATGATTTCACAAAGTAGCTATGCATCAAGCTATTTTGTGGGCTGGAACATAAGGGAAGGATAACATAGTACTTTATCAATTTCTTCATTTTTATAGAGCATTTCTCTTAAAATCACCTAAACTTTCCTGCTTTATGATTTCAAGCTATAAATACAATGGAGAGAGAGAGAGACAGGCATACTTAGAAGTTTTGGCTCTAATTAATTCTCCAGAAATCCATGACAATTTTTTGAATCTTTTTAATAATCATTCTAAAAGCACTTTCATAAAGAGTTTTTTGAAAATACAAAATGCCTTTTCCTATAAGGACACTTATTTGCTTGGTAAACAAGCTGTATGAGCACTCCAACTAATCTTATTTCTGACTTTCTTAAGTCAAAATATCAAGGATAAAAAGTCCACCCATGGGAAAAACTAAGCATCCGACTTTAAATGTCTCCAGTATGCAAATGAAGTCATATCTCCTTAAAAAGAAATCATCAGCTTAGACATTTTTTTCAGTCGACTCACAAGAGGCAAATTCCAGTTGAGAAAGTGCCTGCTGTATTTGATAATACAGCAGAAACGTGAAGCTGAGCACATAGCATCCTTATTTAAAAAGTACAATCAGAAGAGTTGTGTGTGTGTTTTTTTTGTTGGGGTTTTTTGTTTGTGGTTTCTTTTATAATCATCGAGAAGCTGGCAAGATAACTAAAAACAGCCCACATTTCAGCGTGAATAATTTTATTTTGGGCCAAGGAACTCCACTCTTGGTAGAGTTAGGGGAGAGAATCTAATGCAAAGACTATGCATCTGTATAGAGGAGCGAGTGGATCTGAGAGAGATTTGCAGATCCACTGTTTTTTAGGCAGGAAGAATGCTCGTTAAATGCAGAACGCTGCTCTGGCTCCTGTGTTTGCTCCGAGGTGTAGGTTTTGTTCGACTGACGTATCAGATAGTCAGAGTGGTTACCACACCGACGTTGTAGCAGCTGCATAATAAATGACTGAGAGAATCATGTTAGGCATGCCCACCTAACCTAACTTGAATCATGCGAAAGGGGAGCTGTTGGAATTCAAACAGACTTTCTGGTTCCCAGCAGTCGGCAGTAATAGAATGCTTTCAGGAAGATGACAAAATCAGGAGAAAGATGCTGTTTTGCACTATCTTGATTTGTTACAGCAGCCAACTTATTGGCATGATGGAGTGACAGGAAAAGCAGCTGGCATGGAAGGTAGGATTATTAAAGCTATTACATCATTATGAATAAAATTAGAAGCTGACCATGACAAAGCATATGTTTGAACAAGCAGCTGTTAGGAGCTGAGGTTTGTTGCCGAGAGCTCTTCAAACTCTGCAAACAGTGTTGCTTTTGCAGAATGGATTTTAAAATTACCTTGTGCTGCGTTACATTTGGGGAGGGGGTTGTGCTTTGCCTCCAAGCTCAGGGAAGCACTTCTCCGTCAGGAATCAGTGCTAGAAGATTGTAAAATAAAGTCTTTTTGAAGACTCCAGGTTTCTCCAGGTATATGATGACGGGGGTGGGGGAGTTGTCTAAAGGGGAATTCTTCCCCAGCTCAGTTTCATTCAATTTAGTTGCAAGGACTGATTGATATATTGGCATATTCAGGCACTGGGAGGAATGAGAATGTATGGAATATTTGGCTAGGTTGAAAATTGTAACACTTGGTTTCTATTTTCGAAGGAGTTTGACTGTCAGTCTTTTCTCCTCATCAATCCCTAGCTTTTGACATTTATTCAGTCATTCTGCATTATATGAAGAAAATACATCAATATTTCCTGCAGGGTTTCTCAACAACTCCAGCATCTGTTTCAGCTATTGAACTGTATTCACGTTTTGCCAAGTTGATGTCGACCCAGCTGGTCTATCATTTCTCGCTTGATTACTGCTCTTAATTTCTCTGTATCAGCTTGTTTCAGATAGGGCTGTAAACGCTGTTAATGAAAAATGACAGAAAAATGAGAAATTCTTGAAAATTGGAGCATTTATTTATTGGATTGTGCTGGAACCCCGAGGAGTTTTCTCTTACATTCTTTCTTGCCTGCGTACAATTTTTAGCACCCTTTTTGGTGTGCAACATTTCTCTCCCATAAGGTTGTACTTCTAAGTACTTTTGAACAAACCGAGTATGAGCCTGGACTGGATCTGGTCCAAAAATAAAGTTTTGGGACAAAAGGGAACAATTTCAGCTTTTTATAGCAACTATGCATCGTTTCCATATTCTCTCTTCCTACGCTGTCAGAGGGATCTGTCAGTAAGTATATATTGGACCAAACATATTGAAATGATTTTTTACCACCACTAGGGTAAGGAGAAAATGAAACATTCAAAGCTGTTTTTAACAAGTGATTGCTTAAAAACAGATGTCAAATAATATATAAATAGATTTTCCTGAATATGAAGTAAAAATGATTGTTAACTACCGAGAGATTTTGGAAATCTTTTCACCTCTCGTCTCAGTCTATCCAACAGCTTGAGTAGCTAAGAAATACAAATAAATAGACTTATCAAACATGAACCTCTAATATGATTAGCTATTAATCAATCACATGTTAGCCTATATGTGCTGTGCCCTTTCTGTATTAGTTGCAATATCTCAGTCCATCTGACCAGTTAACGCTACTGCCTGTTATGTAACTTTTCTCCCCCCCCTCGAATGTTAGCCCATGTTGTCTCAATTACGTATTCCTCTTAGAAAGAGTGGGTTAAAACAACCTGTGTTTAATTAGTGCATCCAGTCGAAACCGGTGGGCTAATGATGCTGCTTGGGCTCATCCAAAATGCCTTACTTCCTTGATGTTTAGGAAATTGCCAAGGATTTGGATAAGTACTTTTTAACCTTGAAGCATACATGACTTTAATTGAATTCATAATTCACATATATACAGACAGAAGGAAACCAATTTGCTAAAGATGCTATTTTAACAGCATTTTAAATTATGGGAATGGAATAATCAGATTATTTACTGACAATACTTTTGACTTCTCTGGGGGCTTTTTTGCACAGCCTGTTACAGTACTTGGTTCAGCTCAAAGTCTGACAGAATTTTTCATCCAAATGATCCAAGGTTATTTCTGGGTTGTCTGAAAACAAATCATGGAAAGCCCGCCTATTGTTCATCCAAAACACAATTCTCTTCGGCCAATTTTTCTCTTCCTCAACTTTTCGCAGCTGTTTCATGTGACAATTCAAGTCTGGAAAAACTCTTTTACATTTGCCTCTTCTTTAGTAGGACTCTTCTTTTGTGAATTGTCTCCTGTAAGAGAAAATGTCAGCTAGGAAGCTAGTTAGCCTCACACTCCGGTTACCATCGTTACTTTAAAAAAGGGAGGGAGAGGTTTTTCTTTCAGTGAAGATAGTATCATTTCAATCAGCCACTGGACTTTCCAAACCGTCGTTTGGTGTTTGTTAGTTTGCAGTCCGACTTTGCTTCCTTTGTGACTTCTTAAGAAGCACTCTGCATTTGATTCCACTGATGAATGGCGAGGACAGACGCTAGGTGGCACCAGCTGTTGGTTATTAATGAAAATCTTCGAGGCTCTGGGCCACACACACCTGAAGAGCAGGAATACCCTTGCTGGTAAATGCATTTTAAGAGTTGGAAAGGCTCGCCAGCCTTTCTGGTCCCTGGAACACGATTAGCATGCAAAGTGAGGCGACCACGTGAAGGCTCCAAATCCCTATTGCTTAACTCTCTGTTTTGTGTACGGATTCAGAAAGGAAGAAAAGGCAAAAGAAATGCATAACAATAGAGTGTATGAAAGAGATGTGGGCCTTTAAATGTGTTTTTTCCTATGATTTGAAATACAAATCTCTGTAGATTTCCCCAGTTTACTACAAACTCAGACGGACTTGTCCCCTAACTCCAAGATGTTCATAACTCTTAAAAGCAAAACTATTTGTGTCTTTTGAGTAAAACTCTTACTGAGCATCATTTGTTGTTACTATATTTGTGGTGAATCTCTACATAATAAAGCAAACACCTTCTCAGCAATTTCTGCATGTACAACTCAAGACATTGATTTCTTCAAGTTATGCAACCATTCTCATCACCACCATTTGCATAGATCTCCTTTTGCTCTGCCCTTCACCGTTGACAACCACCAACAATCTTTGGTTTCTGTCTAGCAATTTTTCCTGGATCGTGTAAGTGAGATCACACACATTTTTTTCCCTTTTTTCAACTCTCTTATCCCATTCTGCCTGATGAGGTCCATCCATGTGTCATGCATTAGGACTTATTTCCTTTTTCTTTATGGCTGAGTAGTAAAGCGTTATTATGTTTTAGTTCCAACATTGCCCTCAGTTCTCACTTCCAGAGAAAACAAACTGTTGAGTGAAAATTCCCATGCATGGTGAATTTGAAATTTTCCTGTGTGTTGCATTTCAGAAAGATGAACCAGAGAGGAGACCACTACCAGTTAAGAAGCTTGCGATGAAATGTTTTACTTGATAAACTTGCTTCACTCTATTACTCTCACTTTCTCTTGCTTTCCCTCTTTTAATAACGAAAAAAAATACCGACAATCACATACACAAACACACACAGGCAGATGTGTGATTTAAAACTGCTTAAAAGGGAGAGCAACAACAATAACTTCATTGATTCAGAAGTTAAACCCAAAGGAAGAGAAAGGAATGCACATAGTTAGGGTGGGGTGGGTAAATGACTGCTTTCAAAAGCTGGGCAACTTTTTCCCCAATATGCTGTGGAAAAGAATGTAATGTTGTCACTTATCCTAATATAGTATAGAATTTGGTGATGATTTTTATGATGTCCTTATGGTCAAGTGTGATAAACATTTGCCATTTGCTAAAACAGCATGGTTAGTTAGAATGATCAGCTCACTAAACTATTCTGCCTTGAGTTTTCCAATAACTGAATTGCTGTAAACGAGGAAGGAGATTAAGACAAGACTGGTGCGGTTGAATCAACTGACTGACTCAAGCCTGATAAAGTTTGGAGATGTAATGTGTTACGTGTTACACAATTAACCAAAATGTCAGTGATTCATATCTACAACTTAGTCTGCGGGAGAAGGATGGGAAGTCTGCTCCTGTAAAGATTTACAGCCTAGGAAATCGACTGGGATTGTCTTAAGTCAGAATTGAGCCCATGCTGTGAGTTTGTTTGGTTTTTAAACTGTGGACTATATGTCTGTCCTGGACTCCAATTTATCAGTATCAAACACCTGAAAGAAATCTATACTGCCCATGTAGCTAGGAAAGGAGAACAAATATCCCGGATGATCAGGGTTCTGAAAGAACTTCACCTAAAAATGTGATGAAGCCAAGAAGATAAAAATTCAAGAAGAGTAAGTGTAGCATCTGTTAGTAATATTAAAAAAAAAAAACAAACCAAAACCCTTAATTCATTGATCAAGTTAAAGCTTCACAATAATTGATTGACAAAGATTTTGTCATCTGTGTTCTCAGTTATCAGCCATAAACATTGTCTAGGCTCCTTGGAGGCAAGGATTCTGAGGCTCCGTCTAACTTACTTTGGACATGTTGTGAGGAGGGACAGGTCCTTGGAGAGGGACATCATGCTTGGGAGGGTGGAGGGACAGCGCAGGAGAGGAAGGCCCTCTATCAAGTGGATTGATTCAGTGTCTGGGATAATTGGGATGGGAGTGTCAGAGACAGTGCGATTGGCACAGGACAGAGCAGAGTTTAGAGCTGTTGTACATAGGGTCGCTATGAGTCGCAAGCGACTCGACGGCACATAACAACAACAACAACAGGCTATAATATGAAGAAGATCAAGTGTTAGTAGTTCAAATCCACCCACTCTACTGAAGAAAGATGGCAGTCTTCTATCTCTAGAGGGACATTATGGTATAAGAGGAACTTTACTATCTTGAGAGCACATTCAGTGGAAAATGTCAGGAAGATAAAAGGCCCTGGAATTGTAGCATTTGAGGGACATGGAAGGAACTAGAAAATGAAAAGGAAAAAAAAAAGAAAGAAAACTCAAACAATGACTTTGTAAAATGCTAGATAACATTGGAGAGGCTCAGGAGTATAGTATGCTGAGTGAACTAAATCAGTCTCATAAGGACAAATACTGCGCAAAACCATTAGAGTAAAAATAGAAGGATAACTACTAAGATGTATAGAACAGTCCAAAGTTGGAAGAAGAAGGGGCAGGGAGACTGCGGTGTGGGGATGGAATCACTGGGTCGTAGTTTGGTGTGTGGAAAGAGGGGAT